CCGAGGAAGCCCAGCTTCCTTACTCGCAGCGCGCTCAGACGGAGTTGGTTGATAAGGTCGCGGCGGTGGTCAGGAAGCATTTAGCGGTGGCCCCCATGGGCTGCGCCCCCCACCGTGCCCCGCCCCCGCCGCGGCCCAAGGTTGAACGCCCTAAACTGTCTAAGCATGCTCGTGAGACTTTAAAGCTCAGCCGTGCCCAGAGTAAGTCACAACACAAGATCACGAATCCTCACCGCCCATGTTGGCAGTGCCCCTTGTGTGACGGACGCGCGGCTAGGAAATTCGCATTCGATGTTCTGAATACGCCGTGCCGTGCCGCTGCTCGCTTTGCGGGGCCGACGTTTTTTTTTTCGGGCGAGTCATCCACCAGACTCACCGACTCCAGACGGGGGTCCAGGGCACGGTGTTTTGCTCTGCGCGTGGATTGCATGGCCGATTTCGGGTCCGTTCCGATGGCCTGGGCAAGCCTTGTCGACCGACCACGCGCCGTGGGCGCAAGAATCTGGCGGCCCCCCTCCTGGGCCAACTTCCACAGCAGAGGGCAAAGCAGTGCAGAACGGTTTTCTCTACGAAACGATCTCTTTAGGCTGGCCAGCTTTTCGTTTCCCCCCTCGCGGGGTTTAAGCTTCTTGCTTCACAACAGCGCCATGGTTGGGGTTGGCGCGGGGGCGAGTGGTGCCCCGACCGCGGCCTTCCATTCTTGCCTCGTCGCCCTGCTAGTCTGTGTCCCTTTCGTTGGTGCGGAAGGCGGCGGGTCCTTGATCGCTCTGCCCAGTTGGTCTCTGGCCGCATCTGGAGGGCCCGCCATGGGGGCACTGGCTCAGGGTGCGAGGCGGGCCCACACCTGGGGCAGTCCAGGGGCCGTCTAGGCGTCCGCCTCAGGGTTAGGCACACCCGGGGTTTCCTGGCTGTCGTCCTGGCGTCGCCCTTTCGTTTTTAGTATAGGCCCGATGGGAGTGCCCCAGGGCAGATTTGCGTGCATGCCCCACATCTGGGACGAGGCTTGCTGTCGTCCTTGCCCTCGTTGCACCTGGGGCGGCAGGTCTCGTCGTCCTTGTGCGGGTGGTCGATATGTTTCTCTGGTGGCTACATTGGCACCTCGTGTTTTTCTCGTTCATGGCGGTGCAGGTTACGCAGCCTGCCTTAGTACCCGAGCCTTGGGGTACCGCCTTTTCTCTTGGTGCGCCTGGCGCGCGCGCGCGCGCGGTTCCCCGCGCGAGTGTCAGGCACCCCGCCTCAGGGGGAAGGAGCGCCGCGCACTTCTTTTCTCCCTCCTCTCGGCGGTGCTGGTTACGAGCCTTAGTACCCGAGCCGCGGGGCACCGTCGGGCGGAGGGATCTCTGGGTTCCGAGCACGGGGGTGGACGCAGATCCGGTCCGACCGTGGCTCTCTTTCTCGGCGCTGGCTCCAGCACCGTCCGTCTGCGCCGGCAGCACGCTGGCTGCCCGTCGCCCCCGTTCGGTTGCACAGTCTCGAGCGGGGTGGCGCCTCATCCCTTGCGCTTTCGCGCCCTTCAGTAATAATAATAATATATAATTTGTTTTACTTATATATATACACATACATATATATATGCAAATATTAATGATAATACTAGTAATAATAATAATAATAATAATAATAATAATAATAATAATAATAATAATAATAATAATAATATACAAATATATTATATACATATATAACAAAGTAATAATTAATATATATATATATATATATATATATGTCAAAATAGATTACAAAGCTATAGTATATAAATATATATATAATAACATATTATATATATATTAGTATACGATAGCATTATAAATATACATATTATATATAAAGAGAGAAAACTGGAGGAGCCTCCCGAGTGCCATTTGGGGCGGAAGGCTCGGATTGTCGGTTTCTGGCTTCTCTCTGGGGCTCCTTTTCGGGGCCGTCTTGGGGCCCTCCTGGGCCGTCAGGGGCGCCTCTTGGGCCGTCATGGGGCGCTCTTAGGCCGTTTGGGGGCCTTCCTGGAGGCCTCTTGGGTAGTTTTAGGATGGTTTTGAGGGCCACTTGGGCCGTCTTGGAGCGTCGGAAAGCCGAGAAGGCGAGGGCGCCAAAGTCTTTCAAAAACGCTAGGAGGGTCAATGTTCTTTGCCTTTGGGGGGCCCTTTGGGAGACCCCTTGGAGGCCACTAGGGGCTCTTTGGAAGGCGCTTGCATTATCTTGAGGCCATCTTGGGCGTTTTCGAGCGATCGTTCGGCGACTCGGGGCGTTCTTGGACCGTCTTGGGGGCCTCCTGGGCAGTCATGGAAGCGTTGAAGAACCCTAGCGTGGCGCCATGGCCGCCCAGGGACCCCCACCCCCGGAGCATGGTCGGTGCACGCGACGAGGTGCGACCCAGAGGGGGGGTCCCTTCAGTAGACTACACGAACCTTACCAGACAGCACTTGGCATTCTAGCACGCCTCAACGAGCCAGGGGGCACGGTGGCGGATTGTCGCAGGTCATTTGTCAGAATTATGTCGTAAGGGCCCGTGAACAAGGACTCTATGACACCTATGTTTCGGTAAGGGTTCCGCAGTAGATGGTTACGGGTTAAAGGTTCTGGAGCAAGGACTCGTTAGCGAAGGCTCTTTCGTAAACGTTATTTGGGCAGGATTGTTTGGTATATTTGTTTGTGTGGCATGTGTGTGTGTGTGTTTGTGTGTGTTGAAGTGGATGTTCGAGTAAGGGCTTTTCCGAAATGATTCTCCACCAGGAGGTATCGACGAAGGGTTCCGCGCCAATGTGTCGTTAGGCCGAATTCTTCAGTAAGGATTAGTCGGTAAGGGTTCTTCAGCAAAGATTGATGATTATTACGGTGATTCCCTGTACGATGTTTAGACAGATTCTTTCGGAGCGTTGTATGGGGTGGGTGAAGGCTAGTAAGGATGATGCACACCGAGTTCGAAACCATGATTTGAGGTTAAGGGCTAACGGGCAAGGGTTATTCACTAAGGATTCCTCCGTAGAGGTTATTGAGCAAGGATTAGTTCGCGACGGCTTATCAGCAATGGACCCTTCGCAAAAAATCGCTGCTGCGCATGATTGTTGTTCTGGTTATTGTATAGGGGTTCTTTAGACAATATTATTTTGCATTGATTGGTATGCACATGTTTGTTAGTCCAGATTATTGGTACGCGTTTGTGTGGGATGTTGTTGCGTGGATGTTCCATTAAGGGTTATTCAGTAAACATTATCCACCAAGGATGTTCGACGCCAGGTTCCGTAGCAACGTTCATGTAATCCGAACTCTTCACTAAGGATTAGCCGGTAATTGTTTTTGAGTAGTGATTGTTGATTATGGTTTTTGGTTCCAGACGTCCTCTAGATCTTTACAGAACGAAGTAAGGTAAGGATTCGCCAGTAAGAATTCTGTAGCACGGACTATTGCATAATTGCTCTCTGGTCAGGATGATGGAGCAACGGTTTTTTCAGCAAACATGTTTTAGCATGTGTGTTGTAGCAGAAATTATTGAGCGAATGCTCCTCAGCCATGGATCTTTCGCAAAGAATCGCGACTGAGGACTATTCAGTAACGGTTCTCTTGTGAGGTGTTTGTGTAAACGATTTGTCGGCAATTCTTATTGCGTTCAGTTGGTAATGATTGTTTAGCAAAGGTCATTCAGCAAGGGTCCTTTAGGTTTGATGTGTCAGTAGTGGTTCTCCTGGCAGGATTCTGCATTAAGGCTTATGTAGTAAGTATTCTCTTGTGAATATTATAGAGGAGAGAGTTTAAAGTAAGGCCCTACATAGCAGAATCTCGCGATCTTGGTGCGCACATGGGTGTTCGGTAGAAAGTTGCCAGATAATTATAATCATTACACTTCCCCCAACCAGCCAAACGAATCGGCACATGCAGCCGTGTTGCGCTGCGTCGCGTTGAGCGGGACGGGGCTTGACTTAGGTCCAGCAAGGAACTATGCGGCGAGCTGCAAAACCAATGCCGGTCACACCTGAAGGGTCCTTTGCTTTGTTGTGGATGGGGGGCCAGGAGCTCAGTTTGAGCATCAACATTTCTTTTTGCAAAAACAGGGAATGGGAGCCGCAAGGAGCACTTCAATTGAGCCACAGAAGGGTACTGATGAGAAGGATCAACGGTCTTGGTCTGAATCGAAATTATTCCGGCCCTTGCTCCGCAGATACCGACCTTTAGTCCTCTCTTTCGTGGGACACGGGGGTAAGACTAAGAGCAAGCACGTGGAAAAGAAGCAGCAGCATAGCTTATCATTGGTGCTGTAGGGCATGACCAAGGGCAGCAACGCGGGACGATTTGGTGCCCGACAGTGTTCGTCGTGTTCGGTGTTCTGTTGCGGCACCAGTAGATGTTCAGGCCGTTTCATCAACTTCGGAAGTTGTCCGCGGTGCATTTGTTTGATGCATTTCGGTGATATCAGTGGTTTTTGTGACGCTCATCGCGGCCGCGAAAGTACACGTCTAAGGAGGCACGTTGAGCGTATCCCCGTTGGCGCAAGATGATTGCACCAATATTGTGTGGCGTTGTTTTCGTTCCCGGATGCCGCTTCTGTTGATTATTGATTGTTTGTTCGTTCGGGGCAATAGCGTGCATTTGGGTTTCGTGTTTTTTTCGTCGGTCAGTGGGTCGTTGTTGCCCCTCAGTCGATTTCTCTATCTGAACTGGGGCCCTACTACACAAGCAACCTGTGAATTTTTAGAACTTCCCTCCCTGTGGTGGAGGAGGAGGAGGAGGAGAATTTTTAGAACCTCCCTCCCTCCCTGTGGCTCCTTTGGCTCCTTATCCCGCCTCCCTCGCCCTTCCCCCCCTTCACTCCCTCGATGCCTCCCTCCCTCCTCGTTCTTTCCCCGCCCTCCCTCCCCCCTCCTCCTCCTCCTCATCCTCATCCTCCTCCTCCCCCTCCTCCTCCTCCGCCTTTCCCTCTTCCCCCTCCGTCCGCCTCCACCTCCCTCTCCCCCGCCCCTCCCTCCCTGCCCCCCCCCCCTCTCCAGCTCCCGCCGCGCCGGCGCGAGGCTGGTCGGCTTCCTCCGCGACCCAGCGTTCCGGCAGGCCCGCCGACGCGGAGCCCCGACCGCGCCCCCCTCCCCAGGGGAACCTCAGGGGAGCAAGACTCGCCGAGCGCGTTCCACTGCTCGCAACGTGCCTGCTCGCAAACGTCCGAAAAGCACCTGTCTGCTCTGGTATAACGTTTCGCAGATCTCCCGCGGGGGATCCGGGCCAGTTGCGAGCAGCTACTCTGCGAGTAGTGGCACGCGCTCGTCGAAAGAAGTCATGACGATGGTATGCCCCCAAGGCTTCCAGGTTCTCCTGCCGCCCCGCGCAGCCCAGACGACGAGTAGCCGAGCACGGGAGGCCGAGGGCAGCTCGAGACTCGGGGAATCCCAGGACGTCGTCACGACATTGTTCTCGTCCTGCGGTTGGCGTTGGACAGATGGCGTGCGGTGTGGCGGCCCCAGCCCACTTATTACACCCTACCCCGCCTGGGGGGTAGCGTGCAACGAAGACTCCCTGGCAGGGGGGACAGCGTGCATAGAAGGAGCCCTCGGGGTGGGGGGGGGGAGGGGAGGAGGAGGAGCAGCAGAAGGAGCAGCAGGAGGGGCAGGAGGAGGAGGAGCAGGAGGAGCGTCAGGAGGAGCAGGAGGAGGAGGAGCGAGGAGGGGGCGTCGTCACGGATGACGTGTTTTCTGGAGATCGCTGCCGCACGCTGCTTGTCCAACGTGTGCCGCAAAGAGGAGGGGGGGCGGAGTGACCTAGACCCCGTGTGCGCCGCAGGACCTCGGGGAGGAGGGGAGAACTCCTCACTTCTCCCGGAGAAGTGAGGATGAGGAGGGTCGAGGATCGAGGAGGAGCGAGGAGCGAGGAGGAGCGAGGAGCAGGAGGAGGATCGAGGGCCTCGGGGGGATGGAGGAGGATCGAGGAGGAAGAGGACGAGGATCGAGCACGGAGGGTTCATGGTGAGGTGGAGGAGGATCGAGGATCGAGGAAGATCGAGGAGACGCCCGTCGAGTCACGAAATAATCACGACGAAAGGTGTGTCGCTATGTTCAGCCTCGAGCCGGCGAGCGAGTTCTCTGAGAGCAAGAGCCGAGAGCCGCTTTTTTCCACGCGCGCGGGAGTGCGCGCAGTGGCAGGGGGAGTGTGACGAGGAGGCAGAGAAGAAGGAGGAGAATGAGGTGGAGGACGACGACTAGGGATTTTGAGTCAAAAAGCCTTAGGGTTCTTCTCCTGCCTCTAGGAGACTTCTCGTCGCGTCGCGTCTTCCTCCGCACCCACCCGCGACAGTTCGTGGCCCGCATCCAGTCTGGCCGCGTCGACGTGGACAACGTTCCAGAGATCCAGGCCGAGATGCAGGAGGTGTTTCCCCCCCACCCGGTTCGCTGGATGAGAAGGGAGGAAGGAGCTTCGAGACTCGAGGATACAAGTTTCCGATGTTGTTGTCCAGCCTTCCTATGTGTTGGGTCCTCGTTTTGAATCCGCAGCGTTGCGTTCAATCTCCTCATCTCCTCCTCCTCCTCCTCCTCCTCCTGCTCCTCCTCCTCCTCCTCCTCCTCCTCCTCCTCATGGTCTTCCCAACCCTCCTGTATATTGGGACCTTGTTTTGAATCCGCAGCGCCGCGCGTAGCATCTCACTCCTTGGTTAATCTTCCCCCTCCTCTCATCCTTTTCGCCCAGCCTGTGTTTTTCACGTGCCAATTTTAGCACACGCACGCACGCACGCACGCACGCACGCACGCACACACACACACACACACACACACTCACACTCACACTCTCACACACACACACACTCACGCACACACACACGCACGCACACACACACACGCACGCACGCACGCACGCACGCACGCACGCACGCACGCACGCACACACGCACACGCACACAAACACACACACACACTGTGCACGCTTCGTGGCCACAGAGGCAGGTCCACCGATGGCCCCAGTGGCAGCGCCCGCCTGGCGGCCCCGCCCAACTTGCAGCACACCCCTCACATGTCCCGTGGTCCCAGAAGGAGCCATCCGGGGCCCCCGTGGCAGCGCCCGCCTGGCGTCCCCGCCCTCTTTCGGCACACCCCTCGCACGCCTCGCGGCCCCAGAGAGACCTCCCCCGCAGGCCCCCGTGGCAGCGCCCGCCTGGCGTCCCCGCCCACGCTCGGCACGCCCTTCGCGCCCACCAGCAGGAGTGGCATTATCCCCTGGGGGGCAGGGCCCCCGAGCGGCCCATGGCTTTTTATAGACGCAACTTGCCACATGTTCCTGGACCGCCTCGGCCCAAACGCCGATACCCACCGCATTGCTCTCAGGAATCGTACGCGGATGTGCTGACGCCGCCGACGCAGCCGGGGCTGGCCGCAAGCTTCGGCTTGTTCGTCAAGGTGATGTCGCATTCAGACAGGTTGTCCCACCGGATTGTTTTCTCGATCAGTATCGTATCGACTGGGTTTTTGTTGTTTTATCGCTGCGTTGAACCCCCAGGCGAACCTGGTTTGGGGGTGTACTTCGTCGTTGCCTTCGCTCCCTCCGCTTCTTCAGAGCTTATATACGCGTGCCGGTGCACGGGTCCGGCTCAACACAATTGCGAGGCTAGAACGTAGTTGGTATCTTAGCGAAAAAGGCATGTGAATGAGTTGGAGTGTGAATCAGTCTCAGTAGTGCGAGCGCGTCTCTGCGCATGAGCCTGGGGCCTCCTGACACCTCCTGGGGCTTCCTGGGGCCTCCTGGAGCCTCTTGGGACCTCCTGTGGCCTCTTAGGTCTTCCTGTTTCCTCCTGAGGCGCCCCTGGAGAGGCCCAATATATAGGAACAGACGTACATAAAACACTACGCAATGACACAGCGGAGGTCATCAATGATGAATTTCTTCATCAAGACGGCGATGTGCAAATGCGCACCCATGACTGCCAGAAGGCGCCACTCACATCACAGCCGTCCTCTACTCTATGGAAAGAGATATTGTTGAGGATCAGCGGCTCTGTGGCTGTGCTGTAGAAGCGCCGGACGAGGTTCCCGAGAGCTCTGTCTTTGGGACAAAATGTTAGAGTGATCGAATGCGATATGGACGGCCTGTTTTCCCCATGCGTTGCGCCACGTGCCGAGTTGACCGACACTGACCCCAAGACGCACCCAGCCGCGGGCACTTCTTTTTTGGCCCACTAAACGAATTTGAGGACGAACGGGGCGGGCCCCGGGGGGGGCCCACTAAACGAGTTTGAGTCCCCCGCTGAGGAGGCCATTGCCGACCTCCTTGGCATCGACGCCGACGTTGGCCCCCCAGGCCGCGACGTTAAGGCGCGCGGAGGCCCCCTGGACTCATCCGACGAGCTTCGTCAGGCAGGCTTCAGCCGATAGCGGCTAAAGTCCTTCCTGATGAATCAATTGCATGGCGCCCTCATGGCTCGCTTCGACCTCTTGAGGGCGGTCAATCTGCTAGTCGTGTTGCAACATGGACTGATCAGCAGGATATGGTTCAGTCCCGACAGATTTGCCATGTTCATATTGCGCAGGAGTACAGGCAGGCGCCATGGGTTGGGACTCCCCCCGACGATGTCACATTGAAGCAGTTTGTGGATGCCGGCCTGGCAAGCGACATCAGAACGCTTCGAATTACGCGCGAAACTAAACCAAAAATCTGGGGGGGGCATACCCAGGCCAACCAGACAATGTCGTCGATGCGACCGACGCGCGTATATCAGAGCCCAGAAGCAGAAATTACCGCGGCTGGTTTGGCGCTGAGGACGGGGCTAATTCCCGCGATGCCATTGGGAGACCCTGCTATGTCGAACCCCTTTTTGTGTTTCTTGCCGAGGAGAGTCTGGCTGCGCGCGAAATATGTGCGCGTGCCCCTTCTCAGCGCGCGCGTGTCACGAAAATGTTTCACATCTACTTGACGGATGTTTGCAGTTATGTCAGACGATATCGTGCAACCCATCCACCTACAATGTCCATTGGAGGGATCTTCAAGCTAAGGAGTCGGAGAAAGGGAGACGCTCATTCGTCTGAGAGCGGCAAATATCTGGCACCTTCAACTTGGCAGGTGATGCCATAAACTCTCCGTCGAGCCGAACCATCGTGTAGCTCTTGTTGAAGTTCGGTTCATTCCTCCCCAGGGTTAGCTTGAAAACAGTATCCCAATGTTCTATAGAGCTGGGCCGTTGGGCATGGAGTTGGCCTGCTCCCTCATCTCTGCCCCTCGGTCGCCCGCAGATGGTCGCGATCCAGGAGAGGAACAGGGCGTTGAAGCTCGCTGACGAGGCCATGAAGAAGGAGGGAGATAATGGGCCGAGCCCTTGGATCTTCTGTCTCTCCTTCCCTCCCCACCCCGGACCCGCGGCTCTATGAAACCATCGTTTCTCTGGTATGGGAGCTTTCAGAGGCAATCCGGGCCCATGGGCCATGAAAACCGGGACTTGAGTTCGGCCCCTAGGCCTTTGGGAAGGGAGGGGTCGAGTGCCTTGGGGAGGTTGGTCGAGCCACGAATCGGGGCTTTGGGCCCCCCCCCCCGGGCAGGAACGCTTCGCCCGCGTCCGCCCGCCCGCCTTTCTGGATCCTCCTGCCCCTTGGGGGCTCCGCCCGCCCATCCTGTATCCAGAGGGGGCAGGAGGGAGGAGGCTTGCGAGGGCTGCGTACCTTGGCATCGCTCGGACGTGTGCATTTTTCCTTTCGCGAGGACCATCGAGGAGCATCCTTGATCATTTGGCGAAAAAGCCACGCACGACACCAAAAAAAGCACAGGGAATGGGCGTCCGAGCGATGGCGAGCAGGCCGCCTAGTCGGGGGTCGCAGTAGGTGGGATCGGCGCACCGGGCCGCATCGCCGATGCATCGGCTATGCGGCTCGACGTCGAGGGTGAAGGGTTTCTCCGCCGGGCTTAGGCGACCCCCCCCCCTCCTCCTCCTCCTCCTCCTCCTCCTCCTCCTCCTCCTCCTCCTCCTCCTCCTCGTCCTCCTCCTCGTCCTCCTCCTCGTCCTCCTCCTCATACTCATACTCATACTCATACTCATACTCTTTTTTTTTTTGAATGCAACATTCATGCCTCTGAAGTGACAGCCTGCCCCACCAGCCAGAGGCGCACTGAGGGCAAAGCAAATTACCTGTAATTTATAATAGCGGGATGAATTCGTCGATGTCGACCGAAACACCCCTCTTATCGGGGTGCTGTCCCTTACGGAGCCGTCTCAAGTTTCTGAAACCAGTCACCGTGGGTGGCCCGCACTTACGGGACAAACCCAGGACCTGCTCACCGCTAGAATAAAACTTGCACGACATGCACAAGTACAGGTGGCCCTTGTCACTGCAAGGGAACGCAATGACTCGATGGCCTAGTCTCTCCAACAGACCCTGGTCCAAACGGGACTGCCCAGGGCACGAACCTCCCAGCGGTTGAGTCTTGGCACGGGAACCGCGAAGACACACACGGCACCGCCAGGAGGAACCCTGTTGGGACCAGTCGTGGACGAGCTCTAAAAGAGGGGCCTTCAGGTCTGGCGACGAAACGCGCCGCGTCAGACCACGAAACTCCAACTTTGGCCAAAGTGGCAAGAGCTCCGCTCCCGCGAGCAGGACCGCCCTCGACACTGTAATCTGATGATCGAGGGCTTCCTGCTCAGTCGGACTCATAACAGGGTGCTGCCTGGCACCTTCTTTCGCGTAGACGTCAGCGAAGAAGTTCCCTCTTCGCACAAATCTCTCATGCGAGGAGAGCCCTTCCTCGTCAGCGTCTCTGTGGGCCTCAACCTTCTCTAAGGACACGAGGTTGGGCCCAAAGAAATGTCTAGCTTGAATGATCTGGCCTGCATACTGACGCCTGGCGCTGACACTGTCCGCAGCACCAAGATTCATTAAGTGAACCACGTTCGCACAATCAGAGTAACACTTAGCAGGGCCTTCCGCTTGAACAGCGGACCAAGCCAGGGCCCCGAACTCAGCACCCTGGGGCGTCTGAGGCCACGGGGCCCACAGGGGGCCCTTCAAAACTCCAAGGCACTCACCAGAGCCCGAGACCATGACAACGGCCCAGCCAGCCCTAGACAATTCCCGCACCACATGACGATGGCACGAACCATCCATAAAAAGGTGCCCCCAGAGCCCCGAAGAGGGGGGGATGGAGGGAGCAGCAGCAGGAACTTCGGGGTCAGGAAGTAAATCAACAAACCAATCCAGGCTGGTACCTCCTTCAGTCAGTGGCGGAGGGGCATAGTCTCCAGGATGTTTAAAAGCACCGAACAGGTACAGACACATGTCGAGATGATCAGCCCCTAGCTCCAACGCTTCATTCTGAATACTTCTGTCAAGCACCGCATCCCTCTCAGACTGCACAGCAGGGCACACATAGAGCCTGTGGAAGAGGGTGTCGCGGTCCTTACCGCACAACGCGCACTTGTCAGAAAAGTCGTACCCTGCTGCTGCTACGTCGCTTGCCGTCCAGCAAGCTCTCGTGGCCTGGGCACGGATCCAACCTTTTGTGGAGCTAGGAACCTTCTTAGAAGACAAAAGCTGCTTGACCGCGTCCCAACACAGCCTAAAACCGCAACCATACTTGTCCCCAGACTCCCTCTCAAGGCTCCGTAAAAGAGCTTCCTTACAGAAAACCTTAACAAGCTTGGGGGAAGAAAGGGTCAAAGAGATTTCGCGGCCGAAATCGTCCACAAAGGTGCAAAAATTGGGCATGGTCCAGCCCAGCCTGTACAAGGACATACGCAGGGCAGAAATCGGCCCAGCCACCTTGGACCACGAGTGATCATCCGACTTGAAGACGGCGCTCCAGCCATCCCTAAGTTCGGCCCAGCTCAAGGTCCAGGGGAACCCGTGAGTATGCAGGGTCCAGACCTCCTTAGCCCAGCGAATGAGCGGCGCACAGGAACCCCTCCACGTCGGATCATCCGAAAGAAGACACAAGACACTGAGGGACCTGCCCTGCGCTCTAGGCCTAACCGAGGACATGGCCATTCTTCTGAGATTAAGCAGCTCCCTGTCCGAAATACCATACAAGTCGGAACCGTACACAGCTCCAGCCAGAGGGCCCGCCGCGAAGACCTTCAGACACCTGCGTCCGAGGGCCTGCTGGAGGCCCTTGAGCTTGTTGGTCTTCCTCAACGCAGCAGCCGTTCTGGATTTTAATTTGGCCGAACGCCCCTTAGCACGAAAAGGCCTGCCCGCAGTAAAATCAGAGCCCAAGTTGGTGACCCGAGAGCAGGCTGGCCCAACAAGAGGTCCCAGGATCTCCGAAAGCTTCCTGGAAACTTCAGGGGAGTTGCTAATCATACCCACTTTGTCCATGGCCAGCTTGCACTCGAGCGTCGTCGTGATGGCTCGGTGGAGCGCCTTGGCTCCCGCCGTGAGGCTGGCAACTACAACCTTAGCTGTTCCCGTGCAGCTGAGACTGAGGTCATCAACGTAGGCATCGAAATCAGTCGTGGCTCCAGGGGCCCTGGGAACCGAAACGAGGGCCTCGTCGAAGGCCCGCATAGCAAAAACACGGATGAGGCTGGTCGCAAAGGAGCAGCCCGCCACTAATCCCTTGGAAACGAAAAACGGGCCCTGGATGATGCCCCCAAGGGCCAGGAAGCGCGCACTCGCATACGCCCTGATGGCCAGTCTCGCAAGAGGCAGCGGGAAGTGCAGAAGCTCGCACTGCTGCCAGAGGTACCTCAGGTCGATATGCTCATAGTACTTCCTGAGGTCCCAGAAAATGGACGCCGACACTTCTCTCTTGCGAGTGCCCGCTTCGGCCCTGAAGGCCTGCCTCCAGACAACATCCCCAGCTCCCCTGTTGGCTCCAGCAGCCCAGTACTTCCTGGGATGGTTGAGCTCCCACTGGAGGGCCTCCCGACGACGGGCGCGACCCCAAAGACGGTACAGGCTCGGGAACACCCCAATGGGCCTGAACCCGCCCGTCGGCTTGGCCAACAAGGCCATAAGAACCCACGAGAGTTGCCTGGGCAAGTCTCCAGTGGCTTCCCAAACAGCGAACCACAGGGCCAGGGCATGCAAAGCCTCATCGGGGAGAAGGCTGAAATGCCTGCAGTGGAAGCCGTCGACACTCACAGCAGAGGAAGTGCGATACTTTTTGGAAACAGCTCGGAGCTCGGCAGGCTCTAAAATTCGCCCGTGGGGCAGAAGGTCATGGTTCACACCAGTGCCTTTGCCAGAGCCCCAAATAGCAGCAAACTTGTCCCCTTCAGCCTGCAGTAAAGACACTGGGTCGCAAACGATGGTTCCACATCTGGCTAAGGTGGTGGAGGGTTTCCAGGGAACAGGGTCTTTGATAGCCCTCTGCGCGTTGCGACCGCCAGCATCAATACCTGTGCGCACCCACTCTTGCCACTCGAGCCGCGAGGAATTCGCAGCGGTGACCTTAGCAGCAGCGACGGCTTGAGCAACCTGATCGATCAGGTCATCCAGATCAGAGCCAAGCTCAGGATCCAACACAGGGGAAGAGGCGCATCTGGCTAAGGCTGCACTGGCCTTGAAGAGCGAGTGGTACTCAGAGCACTCCTGCACCGCCACGGCCGTCGGAGGCTGGAGGATCGAGTTGAGCACCGTTCGACCAGCCTCCTGCAAGGCCGAACCCGAGAGGTAGCACCTAACTGCACGTAGCTGATTGCACAGCCACGAAATAGACCTTAACCCTGGATTCTTTTCCCGCCCCGCAGGGCGCAGCACGGACTTCCAGTAGACCTGGGGTCTCTTTCCCCGGGTGCCGAAAACCTTGAGTTCAGCCCCAAGAGAGTTGGCAAGATCTCTCTCGGCCGCGTCAGCCCAGAACTTGTACCCGATGCCCAAAAGCCTGCGAGCCTTGCCCGCATCACCATTGGCAACAGCCCCGAAGGCTTCTTCGGCCAACTCGAGCGCAGCACTCCAATCCCCAGGCTCGGGCGACGGTCCCACAGGAGGGAGGACAGGCAACACAGGGGGCTGGCGGAAGGCAAGAGCCTTGAGATCGCCCAGGGAGCTGTGAAAACGGAGCGACACAGGGCGATGTGGAGTGATGCTGGAGTCATCATCCACTTGAACACTCTTGAGGCAGAGGCTGAGCGCCTCCGACACCACGAAAAAATCAAAACGATCAGGAGGGCCCCTGCTGGGGAAGTGGGTGTGACCTTCAGGTACAATCGTACTGGCCCTGAGCTTTTTGCCGAAGTCGGAAGCTTCAATCACCTCGGGACCCATGTTCCAGTCGGCCCCCACGATAAACTCGCATCCCAAGGAATCTAAGTATTCCCCAACGACCCTCAAGGTTTCTTTATTGGATTCCGAGAGACCTTCACTGTGGATGAGG